CCCCCTCCCCCTAAGCCACAGGTCTAGAGAGCAGAGAAGCCAGCAGGAGAAACAGGGCTCCCAGATCCAGCCAGCCTGAGCTGGGAGAAGCAGGAAGGAGCGCCGTGATGCTTTCGGAAGGCATCTCAAGGGTGTCTCTTCCCTAGTCCCGCCTCCCTGGCCTCCTCAGACACCAGAAGAGGAACTCCAGAAGTTCTCCTCGGAAATACCTTTCCTGTGGCAGTGCAACGCAGCACTGACAGAGGAAAACAACGGAGCTGCACGGTCCCTGTCCTCGGGGGCTCACACTCACACAGCCTGACAACTGCAGGATTTTGTCCCTCAGTATAACCTCCTCAGTTCCTTCTGCTCCGAAAGGTGGGGTGGTAGTAATACTAATATTAATACTGATACTCAGACTAATACTAATAATCATATAATGACAGCAAACACACCTAATTGCGTACAAGACACTGCTCTAAATATTATAATATTAACTCACTTAATCTCCACAGCTTCCCTACTGAGATAGGTGCTAATACCACGTGAGTGAGGAAACAGGCACAGAGAGCTACATCCAGGGTCCCTCCAGGGTCCTACAGCAAGTCGGGAGCAGAGCTGGAAATCACTGATGTACTGCTCCACCTCCCGTGCTATAATGGCCTCCAGAGAAATTAAGGGGGCGATTTTCCTTCCCCTCCTGGAGGCTTTGATTAGCGCTTAAAAGACATGCGATGAGAGGACTAAGACACACCCTTGCAGGTGAGGGAAACCCCAAGCAAAGACAGGGAAGCAAGAAAGAGCCTTTGTGGTTTTCTCAGCCGTGTTTGGGGAGCTCCCCTCTGTGGGGAAGCAGCTGCTGTCACCCATGGGCTCATGACTCAGACCTCACGAGCTCTGTGGCCAGGGAGCCACAAGCACTCCCCAAGAGACCGCTGGGGGTGGCAGTACGGAAACCAGTGCCTCTCCAACCTCCTTCCCAGTCTTGCCTGACCACCAGCTCCAAATGCCATTTCTTCCCTAGTTGGAGTCTTCAGCCCTAGCAGGGACCCCAAGCAGACACTGGCCAGGCATTCAGCCCCAGAGTGGTGCTGCTGCCCGTGCCTGAGTCCACTGGGGGTTGGCGGTGGGAAAGCCGGGCACATGCTGACTGCTGCCTCACAGCTAGGGCAGGAAGGACTGGGCTGGCAGGGAGGACAGGGTGGGGCAGGCAAGGGGAACTGGAAGGGTGGGAACCAGGGGCTCCACAGGTGACTCATCCTCAAGCACACAGTACTCTGGCAGGGGTTGGGAAATCCTCTGGTGCTCACAGGGGAGACCCTGGCTTTACCCACGTCCTGCCCCAGGCCCGTGCCATGTCAGTGGGTTGCCGGCTTCTCCCTCCCATCCGCCAGGCTCCTCCCACACAGGAGTGGCTCCATCCCAGCGGGCTCATGAGGCAAGAAGGGCTGGGCATCCTGTTTCTAACTCTTCCCACGTCTGGCATATCTGATCGCAGAAGGAGAGACGAGTGGGGTGGGGGAGGGCAGGGGAGCAGAGAGGAAAAGAGTAAGGTAGAAATGAGACCTGGGAGCTGGCGCATGTGGCCCCAGGCTGGGGCTCTGTTACGCTGGGGCTGGCTGGTGGGATAGGGAAGCCAGGCTCCAGGGCCACTGCAGGCCAGGACTCTGGGGGCTGCCTGGGGGGCGGGGGAGGGGGAGAAAGGCACGCAGCACAGCAAAGGGGCTGAGGTGGGCACTGGGCCAGGCGCTGACCCGCCCGCTGAGTCACCCTCCTCAGCCCAGCTCGGATGCCAGATATGGAAGCCAGGGTCGGCCGCAGGCCTGTTTGGGCCCGCTTGCTGGGAGCAACTTGCTAGGCCCCGAGGGAGAGGCCCCCATTTCCTCCGCTGAACTGAGGAAGAGACAAGGGGAGCAGCGACAACGGGCTGGGGCTAAAAATAAGAAGTGGGAGGGGCAGATGGCCAAGGGGGCGGTGGAGGAGCCGGACCAGCCCAGCCGGAGCTCCCTCAGACCCGCCCCTGTCCACTCACTGGCCCCGCCTCAGCCTCACCGGCCCTCCGTGTTCCCCATCGCCGCGGATCACAGACGGGAGGAGGGGGAGGGGAGGCAGGCGCACAAAGGGCCCTGAGCCCCCGAGCGTCTCCTGCCTCACAGGAAAGGGAGCCCCCTGTGGCTGGGCAGGGCAGAGCAGGGCTGGGGGCAGAGCAGTGAGTCCCAGCCCTCCTGGCTTGGCGAGAGTTCTCCCCTCTCTTCCCAGGGGTCTAGACCTCTGCCCAGGCTGACTCCCTGCCAGGTGATGGGGGGCTCCAACGGCCACCCCAAGCCGCCCGCACGTTCCTCCTTTTGTTCCAGCAACTCCCCCCACTGAAATGTATCCTTCCCTCCCTCCACCTATCCAAATCCACGCCCCCACCTCCGTTTGAGCCCCGCCTCAGCCCTGCGCCTCCAGATCCAGTCCCAGCCCTCTCTCCTCTTCCAAGTGCGTTCAGCTGTTGTTTTATCTGCTGGTTTATTCTCTTTCCAGT